ATAGATAGATAGATAGATAGATAGATAGAGAGAGATATATAGAAATAGATAGATAGATAGATAGATAGATAGAGAGAGATATATAGAAATAGATAGATAGATAGATAGATAGATAGAGAGAGATATATAGAAATAGATAGATAGATAGATAGATAGATAGAGAGAGATATATAGAAATAGATAGATAGATAGATAGATAGATAGATAGATAGATAGATAGATAGATAGATAGATAGATAGATAGATAGATAGATAGATAGATAGATATTTGCTCGACCAAAACCGGCAAATTATATTATTATTATAGGGAAACTCTCTTTTAACGACGTCTTAAAGCAAAATGTATCTAACGAATAAACATAAGCATTTTACATGATGTCAGAGAAATGCTGCTCTCTAGTGGTTAAATTTGAGTACTAAAGGGCAATGGCTTGGCAACAAACTTATCTGGAAAAATGGTTGGCTGTATTAGATTAAAGGATTTTACACGTAATAAATACTTCTCAAATAATTTTGAAGTAAAATGCTTTACTCTGACTCTGACTTTGCAGGTACCCTTTTTAAACGTGGTGTTTGAACGCTTGTGCTTAAGGTCAATTACGTAAAGCACAATTAAATATTTGCTAGATACAGTATTTTTGTTGCAGTTGTGATTTTCTAAAATGCTATATCTTTTCGTAGTTTTATTCAAATAGTAACAGGTTTGAACTGTCGTGGACAGACCGAGTTGAAGTAAACACAGTTCTGTAGTTCAACACGAATACTAAACGATATTCAGACGCTCCGTTCATACTTACGGTAATTTGATACCAAGCTTGTCAACAGTTTGACTTCTTAAAAAACTTTCAAGGGTGTTACTGATGTGACCTATGAGTGTTACATTTTCTCTGTTCCTACTTCTTTGAGTTATATTTTGGACATAAATAACAGAAATATTTTTTTAACTAACTTTGATGAGTTTGTCAGTAACTATCAAACCTTTAAATTTTTTATTCTCTCTTAAAAACTAACAATGTTTGAGCAACTGCTAAACAATGTCTAAGAATGTGCTCTTTTATACATAATATAATAATACATAAGTAGGTTATTATAGCTAGCGTACTTTTGTGAAAATGTTGAATGCATTTTTTTATTTGAGTCTTTGTGCGTTGGTAATTTGTGTCAGTAGTTTATACATGGTTTATTTTACATGATATTAAAATCAAATTTAAAACTCTCGAAAAATATTGCGCTATCTGCATGTACCTATGATGACCTTTAGATGGTGCCATTGAGAACGTTTAATAACGTCAATCGCCTGCTCCGTCAATCATCTGCGCCTGTGTCAGAGCAGTGGCTCTGGAAAGATAAGACGAGCTGGGAGCAGAGACAGACAACTCAGTGCCTAAAGCGTGGAGAAGGGGTCAGCATGGGTGCTATGAGAAGTCACTAAAGCTGCACATAAAACTTTTGAGGACTTCTGCCCAACATTTTCGTCAACGCTCTGTTTGCGAGTCAACTTATTGAAATCATTAAACCCACAAAGGCGCGGCTGGCTCTCTGTCGGACTGTTTGTAAGGACCGCTGCTCGCCCCGAGTCTCTTCCAGTTCAGCTAGGTTTAACGGGTGAAGGAGGAGGAAACGAGACAGGATGTATCATGAACAAACCGCAACTTTACAAAAGCCACGCTATGGAAGTAAGTACCACTCTCTGCTTTACCGCGTTAATAAAAACACCAGTAGAGAGTTATCTTAGTATCTGGTGTCATCACTCACGCGTTTGTTTAATGAGCAGCAGGTGTTTTTATGGTCTTCACCTGACTCCACTGAGCAGCGTGCTGTCTTCAGTAGGTGTGTTATGCCTTGGAAAAATACATTTATGTCCTGAAAACTGAGGAAAAGAACCATTTTTATTTTTATTTTTTAAAGAAAAGTTGCAATTTAAAACATGTTTCATGAAAAAGCTAACTGCTTATTTGTGTTAAGCACACCATAGCTTATGAGAAGGGGAACTGCTTCAAAAAGGTCATTGTATTATACAAATTGACAAACTTCTGGACATTGGGCCACTTGATTGAGTTTCAGGTAAATGGAACGATCCCTGACCCAACCATTCTCTGGAGAAGCTCGTTAGCTGGTTTAGTTGTGACCCTCATGTTCACTTGTTCTTTAGGGTTCAGATCAAGATTTTTGTTGTGGACCAATTATTAACATCATCATTAAATTGTAGGAGAATAATGTAATAATGTTTTCTTATAAACAGTGTGATTCTTCAGTCCTTTGGGCATGAATAACTTTTTATATTACACAAAGGCATTAAGACAGTCAATGTCTCACCGTGTTGTTTTGCTGCGGAGGTGTGTTTTTTGGGGTTTTATGGTCATCTCTATCGTCAAAGAGTTGTAGTGTCTGGTTTCTAGTTGAGTATTTCTAACCTGAGTTTTTGTCATTCTTTTGAAATCTTTATTTTCTAATTTTCTTAATAAAACTCATCACCCCAATTTAAGACCAAGGGCAACATGTTGATAACATTGCACAACTTCCTCTTCTGTTAAAAACATGCTCCATTCTTCAAAGAAATACACCATGAGCAGCAGACATGCTCACCAGAGGAAAAAAGAAAAGTCAGACAGGTGTAGGTTGCGTCGCAATTAGATTGCACCATATGCAATCCTCGGGCAGTTGGTTCCAAAGAGTATGACTGTAACTGTGACTTAATGTGCTTTTTTATATTTAGTTTGATCATGCATATGTAAGCTTAATTTTAACAAAGTCAGTATTAAACAGGTAACCCATGGAAAAATCCCCCGAAAATTAGCTGAAACTAGCACACCATGGTTACAGCATTTGGCTTAAGGGTGGAACTGCTCCACAGAAACATTGGCACACTTCTGTGATAAGATCCCGAGGAGATTAATGCATGAACCATTGTTTATCACCTGACTGGGACACGACTGGTCTAAATTTACGAGTTATTGTGAATTTGTGAAATGAACATTATTGCTGTTCTGGTTTTGTTTTTTGTTTTTTGTTTAATTTTTAACGTTATTTTTAAGTCTTGAGTAAAGGCTGAGACATTGTCAGTTTTTCTGCAGGCGGGAAGTCTACTGTAATGGTTGTGAAATAAACATGACAAAATTTGTTAATTACTTCAGAGCACAGATGTTGGGGTCAAGATGCTGTAAAACTTTCCACCGCTGAAGCTCTTGGTTATCTGGAAGTGTTAAATTTTAAGTACACTCACATGATCCACACAGTGTTTTCTTTTTATCTATTTATTCAATGGCGGTAGCCTGCAGGATATCAGCCTGTCTACACATTTGGTATTTTCTCATAGATCAACCATTAACCTGCTGTTGAGAAATCTCTCACAGAGTCAGACAGGAATGTAAGTGACTTAAGTGTTATACAGTAGATCACGTTATATCTGTGAAAAGCCTCACTATGTCAGCATTCACTGTAGATATCTTGTCACTCCAATGTCTGCGACCAATGCACAACCTTGTTAGATAACAATGCAGGTTCTCCATTATTCTTGGCCAGTCAATTAAGGAAATAAGTTTGAATTTGAAGAGACATCTGACTAAAATGTTTTTTGTTTTTGTTTAAATAACATATATCTATCTATCTGCAAAATAGTTACTTCGACTGCTCTTCACAGTGAGTCATGATCACACAGCCCGTAACACACTAGCCCAGTGGCCATATGACACACTACAGCAACAAACCTGTTCTGAGGGTTAAATATAAAGTTTTCAGTTCACAATTGCTGTCACGCTCTTC